GAATAACAACATGCAAAAAGCAGACAATTTCCTCTAACAATCACAATTTCTCTGGCTCTATGCGACAAGAGCTGTTACAAATTCATCCAATCTAGTCATTATCTTTCCTGTGGAAACTAAGTTTGTACTACAAGTAAAATTGAAAATTATCTGTTCAGGACACAGCATAATACATAAATTGATAGATGAAAACCTTGGCTTTCTATTGGTTATAGATGATATATAATTAAACGTAAAAAATAAATATTAACAAATCCTGAAAGAGAGAATGTGACAGTTGGGTGTGGCAATAGTGATCTGATTTTCTATTTGATAGCTCTGTAACCAAAAAATTATAGTTTGTCTGAGCAATAATGATTTTTATAGTGAGTAATTTACATTTAATTTTGTAGTTATTGGAGGGTTGGTGGATAAAATAGAGAATAAGTCATACCTAGAGAAAATGTGTCAGGTGTGTCACACTAGAGGAAATTCAGGATTTTTTTAAATATTGCCTTATAAAATTAAGAACTTAAAACTTGTATACTATTAAAATATGGGTTATTAGCTACAAGTTTATGCTATACTAATTGGTATATCATAAACAAAAAGTAGTTTAATAAAATTTTCAAAGTAAGACACTAAAACTTTGTGTCATTTGCAGTAAAGGATATCTGTGACAATAGGGTTAATAAAAAGGATGCATAGTTTTTGAAGGAAACTGTTAAATTTTTAAATACAATTTTAATTTTCAAATAAAAGAGACCATATAACGAGTAAAAGGAAAATAAGTAACTACTAGGTAAACCCTGATGCAGACTTTATTTCATACTCATATATAGTTCCAAGTATGTCATTAGTCATTTGTTACATTTAAAAAAATGTTTTTTTCATAACCCATTGATTTAATCTATCTAAAGACACTGAATCTCATTCCATTATCTGTTCAACACTTCCTTCAACTCCTTATTGTACCTCTCATTGTTTTGGTTTAAAACATACTGGTAATTTTGTTTTATAATAGTACCATCATACAACTCGGTCAGACTGGACATACCAGTAACATACAACTTAATTCCACAATTTAACCTGTTATCTTTTGTGAACACAATGCATAAACATAATAGCAACCAAACTGTTTGGTATATACAACAATTAAATAAAACATTAGAAATATGTGATATATAACATACAAGTATGAAAATGTGTAAGATAAAGATAGGTTGAAAAACCAGGATACTCCAGCCAAGTTCATAGTGGGAACCCAGTGGGAATGCAAAAAACGGGCAAAGCCCCTTGTAGCTCTGTATTTTTAAAACTTAGAAGAAAAAAGTAGTGGCTTAAAATGAAAAAAAATTCAGTTTCCAACAGCAATTAAAAGATCAACCACTTTTTCTAACCAGATCTGCAAATGATTTTTTTACAACACTGTTGTTTCTTTCAATCATTTTTACATTAACAATTTTCTCAATTTTTAAACTTAAAAATGTGCTTTTCTACCACCATTGAAACAATGTGAGCATCTGCAAAATATTGTAATAAGCTATACATTTTTGATTTTGTAATAGATTTGTTAGCTGGAAGG